AGGAGGGCCTAAAGGTGAAGGTGGGGATTAAAATTTAACAGTGAAAAGTTTTAAAGAGAGTGAGTTAGATAACGCTTTAAATGAGTGAAATACAGATAAATATGAATTTTTTTGAGATGCATAAATCACTACTGATTCTACTGAGCTAAAATTAAAAACCAGACACTGGAAATGTGTGGATACATTTGTGGTGACATTAGGCATAATAAAAATTATATGATCTAAATTTAAAATCCAGCCAATTCATACTGCCGATGCATATGCGAAAATTTTCCGTCTGCTTTGCATTACTAACCTGAACATTGAGTTCTACCTGATTCTATCCTTTTGGGAATTTATGTATATATATATATATATATATATATATATATATATATATATATATATATATATATATATATATATATATATATATATTGACCACTAATATTATATATATATATATATAGGTAAGAGGAGAAATCTACCAATCTTTGCTCGTCTTGATTTTTGCAGGTGCACCCACAGACTAGACTGTGGCATAACTGTATAGCTACTAAAGAGCTGGGAATGTTCCTGGGCAGATTGTTAATATCTTTTATCTATATATAAAATTCTGTGATTTCCGTTAGTCCGTCACACCCTTTCAAATAGTCATACATTGACCGATCGAAATTAAAGTTTGGGGAGAAGTACAACCAGGTAAAGGGGTACTATTATTAGAGTGCGTAGTTTAGTACAATAAGCTTTCATTAATTTTTGGGGAATAATTAAATTTTATTATTGAGTTGGGACCACGGAAGGAAAACACGGAACACGGATTAGAGGTAAGAAATATATATTAAACAAAAAGGTTACAAAGATAGTGTAAGCGGAGCTTACTATGTGCTAGTGTCCAATATTGGTAGTCAATATTGGTAGTCATTACTCTCTCTGATACTCTCTCTCTCTCTCTCTCTCTCTCTCTCTCTCTCTCTCTCTCTCTCTCTCTCTCTCTCTCTCTCTCTCTCTCTCTCTCTCTCTCTCTCTCTCTCTCTCTCTCTCTCTCTCTCTCTCTCTCTCTCTCTCTCTCTCTCTCTCTCTCTCTCTCTCTCTCTCTCTCTCTCTCTCTCTCTCTCTCTCTCTCTCTCTCTCTCTCTCTCTCTCTCTCTCTCTCTCTCTCTCTCTCTCTCTCTCTCTCTCTCTCTCTCTCTCTCTCTCTCTCTCTCTCTCTCTCTCTCTCTCTCTCTCTCTCTCTCTCTCTCTCTCTCTCTCTCTCTCTCTCTCTCTCTCTCTCTCTCTCTCTCTCTCTCTCTCTCTCTCTCTCTCTCTCTCTCTCTCTCTCTCTCTCTCTCTCTCTCTCTCTCTCTCTCTCTCTCTCTCTCTCTCTCTCTCTCTCTCTCTCTCTCTCTCTCTCTCTCTCTCTCTCTCTCTCTCTCTCTCTCTCTCTCTCTCTCTCTCTCTCTCTCTCTCTCTCTCTCTCTCTCTCTCTCTCTCTCTCTCTCTCTCTCTCTCTCTCTCTCTCCTCTCTCTCTCTCTCTCTCTCTCTCTCTCTCTCTCTCTCTCTCTCTCTCTCTCTCTCTCTCTCTCTCTCTCTCTCTCTCTCTCTCTCTCTCTCTCTCTCTCTCTCTCTCTCTCTCTCTCTCTCTCTCTCTCTATCTCTCTCTCTCTCTCTCTCTCTCTCTCTCTCTCTCTCTCTCTCTCTCTCTCTCTCTCTCTCTCTCTCTCTCTCTCTCTCTCTCTCTCTCTCCCCTAGAGTGTTATATCGCATACTTTATATAGTCCTGAAGAGTCCATGTTGTAGGTATGTTACGGTCTCACAACAATTATTTAACATACAAAATACTCAGACTATTTTATAAACAATTTATTGATTAAAAATAACAAATAATTATTTAATAAAATGCAATATTGTTTGTCTGCATATCTTTTCTTTCAGTTTATATATATATATATTTTAGTTCTTATAAAATATAATGCACTGTAAATATAAACACAGTAGGGAGAGTTTTAAATGAGCAGAGGAAGCGGTAACATCAATAATACTAAATACTGTGAGGATTTCAACACGCGTTAGCGAGTTACAAAAAATGATCGGCGTGTTATTTAACCCATAGCTACTGGAAGAATGAATGGATTCTTGTCTTTTCCAAGAACACTGGCGCGCAATAAACTGAAATTTGAATTCAGTTCGCATATCACAATTTTCACGGCAACCATACATAGATTCTCTTATACAATTTTTATATAATTCGTATATGACCTCTTATAACCTTTATTTGGCTGTCTGTAATCTAGCAGACGATATCTTCATAAGTTAAGCCATCTTTCTCCTTTAGGATATATATGTCTGAAAGTTCGGAGCCATTAAGTTCATTTCTTGGCTTTGTCATTGATTTAGCGAACAATATCTTCATAATTTGAGCTTTGCTTCTTCAGTTTTGGGATAGGCATGTCCGAGGCTTCGGAATATTTACTTTTATTTGTTACTTTTGCTTATCAATCAACAGACAGTATCTTCATAACTTGAGTCACATTTCTACAGCTTTGAGATATGTATGTATAAAACACTCGTAATCTTTATGTTATAAAATTTTGATATAATTCGTGTATGGCTACTTATAATTTTTATTTGGTTTTTTCATTCCTTTAGCAGACGATATCTTCATAAGTTAAGCATTCCTTAAACAGTTTTAAGACATTTATGTCTTCAGGTTTCGGAATGATTGGTTTTGACTTTCATTTAACAGACGATATTTTCATAATTTGAGCCGTTCTTCAACAGCTAGAAGATATGTAAATCTCACCCTTCGAAATCTTAATCTTTGGCTTTTCTTTTTATTTAACGAACGATATCTTCATAATTTGAGCATTGATTCCCCAGCTTTGAGATCGGTATATGTGAGGTTTACTTTTATTTCTTAGTTTTGTTTATCATTAGCCAGATAATATCTTCGTAACTTGAGTCATGCTTTTACAGATTTGAGATATGTATGTATGAACTCTCATTATCTTTCCCTTGGTTTTATCTTTGATTTAGCAGACGATAACTTCATAATTTGAGCTTTGTTTCTACGACGTTGTGAATTGCAGAGTTAATCTAATCAATGTCTGTGTGATTCAGGTTATTTGTAAAAACAATGATACATTTTCAGAATCTGGTTCGTATGGTTGACATCTCGAATATGCCAAACTTTCCTAAGTGCGAAATATTATAATAATGATCCGAACATTGTGTGATGGAAGATAATCGATTGACAAAATTCGATTAGGCAAGAGACGTGCTTTTTTGGAAATGTCAGATTCGCTGCCTGATTTAGTTTGAAGCACAGTTGCTCTCCGAATCAGCAAGAAAAAAAAATGAATCAAATGATTATGCGATGAAGGTGGTAATGGTCAGAATAATTAACTAGCAAGATTACTCGTTATCACCCGGCTTTTTATTTGAGAAAACAAAACAAAACAAACTAAAAAACAATATCACAAATCCATGTTTAACTAATTATCGTATGGACGCCTAAAAATAAACATGGCTTCATGCTTGTATCACTTCGAGATAACTAGAAATGGGCCATTTAACATTATCAAACAAAATAATACTTCAGGTATTTACGACATCTAATTCCTTTAATAATGGAAAACCAGGGAGATTCCACGGTTTTTGCTAATTCTTATCCTAAAGACTAACCATTTCAGGTTCACATATTTCATATTACTGTACCATGTTAAACGCCTTTCCTATATCTTTCTTTCTTTCTTTTTTCTTTCTTTCTTTCTTCCTTTTAACGTGTCATCTATCTTCTATTTCTTTCTTTCTTTCTTTCTTTCTTTCTTTCTTTTGCTTCTTCTCTTTCTCATATCTCTTTCTATCTCATACTCTTTCGTTCTCTCTCTCTCTCTCTTTCTTTCTTTTAACGTGGACTTTATCTTCCATTTCTTCGTTTCTTTCTTTCTTTCTTTCTTTCTTTCTTTCTTTCTTTCTTTCTTTCATTCATTCTTTCTTTCTTTCTTTCTTTTCCAGCAGTGAAAAATCGCTACAAAGTTGTCTGTGATTAAATACTGTGTTAATTTCTTGTAGCCGAACATCCTAACCTCAGGCTTATCTAAGTTTACACACACCCGGCCAAGCCTATGATCTGCGTAAACTATAGAATTAAAACTTGGACAACCTAAGAGCCCTACATCGCCTCTCTTTACTAGGTTTCAGTCGAGGTAGCTAAAACGCACCGCCGTAGCTGAGCTGCCTCTATTAGTCCACACTACTTCCCAAGGGTACTCATTACTTAGCGACAAGATCAAACTTATCTATAAAGTCCGGAAATGGCTTCACATCCGGGTTGTTAGTAACCGACCTTTCCTGAATACGATCGGGGTTAAGGACAGCATTCCAATCTCCAGCTAAAACTACCACACTAAGATACCAAAAACGCCTCGATCCGCCGAAACAAATATGGCCGCTGAGCATGGTCATTGAACGCATAAACTCCAATGAAGCGAAGAGACGTATCCTCTATGGTAACATCCAGAACGCAAAGCCTGTCCGCCTGATCTGCGAAAACAAGAAATTTAAAGACTTTCTCATTCGCCAGGAAACACTTCTCAAGTGTCCATCAAAACATACTGAATGCTGAATAGAGGACAAATGTACTCATGGTTGTGAGTTAAAAACCGTGTCTCCTGTAGACAGCATACATCCACCCCGAGGCACTAAAGATCGCGAGACTCCGGCCCCAGCCTCCGAGCATTCCAATTACCTAACCAGAATGTCATGATCAGTCCGATTAGGGTTGGGAATCTGCATTGAACATGGACGGGGTGAAGACACTAACGGCCTGTTGCATTGATCCTTGGCTTTTCTCACTCTTGATAATGCCATCAAGAGACATGCCGTCAATGCCCCAAAGCTCTATACAGGGAGCGATGAACAACAACTGAGAGCCTTCCCTGAACAATACTGCTTTAATTTTGTCATCTGTTCGTTGAACAATATATTCTGCTGTGGATATTAATCTTCAAACTGTATTTACCTCCTCTGTCATAGCTCATATAAAAAAAATGGTTTGCTCTAGAAAGAAAAAACTTATAATGAAAAGAAACATAATCAAAGAATGCTGAACAAAAATAAAACAAAAGTTGGAAAAAAAAAAGAAAAAAAAAGAAAAAAAAAGAAAAAACAATAAAAAGAAAAGAAAAGAATAAAGAGGGGGAGGAGGGGGAATAAAATAAAAACTGAAAAAAAAAAACAGTAAACAAATAATCGATTCAAATTCTTCCTTTATATTTGGTTTGTCACACGCAACCATCTTCAATTATCCATGTATACTTTTCTTTTGTTAATACGTAGATTGTCGTTTCTTTATATATATATATATATATATATATATAAAAAAATATGTTGTAGTGGTTCCAACGAGAGAAAAGTATGTATATTAAAAAAAAGAAGAGGTGCCGCAAACGTTTTTGGTTGTAATGTGGATTTATTGAGAAAAATATTATACTTTGTTTTACATAATTTCACGACACGTGTTTCTGGTCTGGTCTCGCAACCGTCTTCAGGTGAAAGTGGAGATTTTTACATATTATTAAAATAATTAATTTTTTCTTCATGTTCAATGTGGAATATTCTCGATATGAGACATTCTGTTTGTGTGTTGGCAATCCGAATATATATATATATATATATATATATATATATATATATAGATAGATAGATAGATAGAGAGAGAGAGAGAGAGAGAGAGAGAGAGAGAGAGATAGTGTTACTGTTTGTATTTTATTATTCGGACTCACATTCTGAGACAGTCATTTTTGCTGTGAGATAAGTAAACCATGAGACACGCGTTTTCCAACTAAACACTCGACCAGTATCTTCCGAGACAATATATATATATATATATATATATATATATATATATATAAATATATATAAATGTGTATGTGCAAATTTGCACCAAAAAGCATTTCTAGACATTTATAAATGAAGAAAATTTATGAATGAAGAAAATTTATGAATGTAGAAAATTTATGAATGAACGAAAGTGAAATTGGACAGAAAGAGACAAATATAGATTGACACATAAAATCACACACTCATCCACAGCTCAAAATATTCAAGTGTTAGAGGCCATTGATAAGATTTTCAAGGTTACGCTATTTGAAAACGTCTTTAAGAAAGTAAGAATAAAGTTGATCTCATTTTAAATAAAAATAAATTTAAATAAATTAAACTTTTCTATCAATATATTCGACAAGTGAATACCATACCTTCGAAACTCCGAATCGGAAAGATAAGTTGAACATTTAATTCTATTTGTTGCTATTAATTCTTGATCTCTTGAGTTACAAAGACTGCTTGTTTTAAAAGCGATGTTTCAGAAATACATTGACTGACCTTTTCTTTTTGTCGAAACACACTATTTGTTACATAGATAGATAGATAAATTTGTTACATGGATAGAGAGATACATACATATATATATATATATATATATATATATATATATATATATATATATATATATATACGGAAAGAAATAAATGAAATAAATTAGATTGTGGTGGGTGCATTATTGAGACAGTGGTGTGAAAATAGGATAATATAAAAAGCGAATGAGAGTGTCAGCGATCAATCAATATATATATATATATATATATATATATATATATATATATATATATATGTGTGTGTGTGTGTGTGTGTGTGTGTGTGATGAGACAGAGAGAGAGAGAGAGAGAGAGAGAGAGAGAGAGAGAGAGAGAGAGAGAGAGAGAGAGAGAAAGGAAAACCGTTTCCAAAAAAACAAAACAAAAAAGAAACAAACAAAAAAGCCCCAGAAGAATAATGAATTGTTCTTTTTGTTGGGCGTTCCGAGCTTGCATTTGTGGCCAATTGAAGGTGAAGGGTTACTGGTGTTGACATGTTGTTGGCGCCAAATCCCGCGGCGCTTTATTACTTCCGCTGTGGGGAATTGCGCATGTCTACAATAGACAAAGCATAAATTCTTGGCGTTCAATTGGACTGTCAAAAGCAAAATGAAAGCCTGATGAATGTGTCAGATTTTCGTTTCGTAGGGAGTCCTGTTATATGAATCTAGCGTTGGACCAAAAAAGGTGCTTAGAGATGGTCCATTGGAAAAAAAGAAAATATTATGAGCAAGATAAGTTGCAAAGAAAGGAGGAGAGAGAAAGATATAAAGGGGCGGATAAAGACAGAAGGACAGCGAGTAGAGAGAGAAGGAGTGAGAAAAGTCAGAGAGAGGAAGTGAAGGACAAAGAAAAAAGAAAAAGAGAGAAGGATAAGAAAGGGTTAAAGTGTGGGAAAGAGAACTTTGTGTGCTAGTAAGAGAGAGAGAGAGAAAGATAGAGAGAGAGATAAAGGGAGAGAGAAAGAGAAATAGTAAGAAAAAGAGAGAAAGAAAAAGAGAGATATAGGATTTGGGGGGAGAGAAAGAGTAACATACGTTTGTGTATGTGAGTGTGTGTGTGTGTGTGTGTGAGAGAGAGAGAGAGAGAGAAATTTGTTTCCGTGTGAGGAGAGAGAGAGACGAGAAGTGGGTATGCGAAGTGACTGTGATATATATATATATATATATATATATATGTGAAAATATATAGAAAATAGGAAGGAACTGGTTAGGTAAATAATCAAAGTCCCTTAGTATTTTAGTTATTATTTTTAAAAATAGTGCTCGATACAAAAGTAGAGCATAAATATAATTATTTATTTAAAATATGATTCCAAATCGCTACATAAGAGGTCTCATGTTTCAAAACAAGAGCCGAAAACTTCAATATAATCCTTTAAATTAAATTGAGTTGAAATTGGAGACAGTCTGTTTTATGCGTGAACGCTGTCTTACGGTCATGAATATTGCTTTCAAGCATGAAACAGACTATCGCCCCTCGCTGATGTCAGTGTTCACTCTCCTTATATTTACATACACTCTATCCTAAACCAACTTCTTGAACGGCGGCGATATCGTTCTTTTTGAGATCGGTTCTAGTGCCTGATGGCGCACTGCCAGTCACTCGTTTCCCGATATATAGTTTCGGCAATAGTGGGCACCCCGAGGTGGTGTAATGCTTAACAAGCTTGTCTCGCTAGAACAGTTACTACTGAATAGTGAGTTTGATCTTCAGTGGGTGCTCCACACTCTACGCTTAGAAAATCATTTGTAGCACCTCGAGGCGGTAAAATGGTTAGCAAGCTTGTCTCGTTAGAACAGGTGAGTTCGATTCTCATTGGGTGCCTCATACTTTCGGCCTTGTGCCACATCTAAACTAGATTTAGAAAATTATTTTGGGCGCCTTGGCGTGGTGTAATGGTTAGCAAGCTTATCTCGCTAAAACAGTTATCTCGCTGAATAGTGAGTTCGATACTCACTGGGGGCTTTACATTGATGGCCTTGTACCACATCTAAGCTACGATTAGAAAATTATTTGTGGTCTTGGCGTAGTGTAATAGTTAGCAAGCTTGTCTCGCTAGAACAATTACGACTGAGTAGTGAGGTCTATCCTCACCGGGTGCCCTCTACTTCCGGCCTTGTGCTACATCAGAGATACTCTTGGAAAACACTAGGGGACCTTGACGTGGTGTAATGGTTAGCAAGCTTGTCTCGCTAGAACAATTACAACTGAGGAGTGAGTTCGATCCCCACTGTGTGCCCCTACTTCCGGCCTTGTGCCATACTTAAGCTCCGCTTGGAAAATCAGTTTATTTTCGGCAATAGACCCTCATCTCTCCAAAATGCTGAGAGTCCCTTTGTTTTGACTTGTTAGAGGCCCAAGACGATTTCTTTTGCGCAGCAGGTTTCTCTTACCTCTCTTCTTCCTGAAGAGACGCCGCCAGAGCGGTCGGTGCCAGCCCACAGCACAAAATCAAACAAAGTTCAAACAATACAAATGGACGATGCAAAGATAACATAACAACAAAAGGACAACACGTAAAACAAAACGTCCACACTTACAGGCTTTCGAATGATTGTCCGGGAAAGACACTGCCTTTTCTCAAAACTTGTGTCTGCTTTAGAGGTTGGCTAGCAAAGAATCATTTGCATAGCTAACACCACTCAGCTCATCGTCCTGACTATGCCATAGGAAGCTGGTGGGCACATTCTTTATAACCTGACGTTCCGGGGTTCTGTTCTGGCACAGTGCTGTCTTTTTGCAGAGACAGCGCACTAGACGTCGTCTGTTTGACCGACGAAGGCGGGTACAGTTACTAGTAGTGATTGGCTGTTCCGTCTGCATTTCATTTCTGCAACAAGGGAGAGAGAAAGAGAAAGACTAAGAAAAAAAAGAGAGATATAGGATTTTTGTGGGGAGAGAAAGAGTAACATACGTTTCTGTATGTGTGTGTGTTTGAGAGAGAGAGAGAGAGAGAGAGAGAGAGAGAGTAAATGTGTTTCCGTGTGAGGAGAGAGAGAAGGCGAGAAAGAAGGTGAGTGAGAAAGGTGGAGTATGCGAAGTGACTGTGATATATATATATATATATATATATATATAATCAGTGTGGACAAAGAGATCAGCACCGAGTGGAGACAGAGCTGCAAATAACAGGAAGATGTGGTGGGCCATGATCGCCAATCTCCTGAAGAGACACGGTGCATAGAAGAAGAAGAATATGAATTAATAAGGAAAACTTTAATAATCCGATTTATTGAGAATATAACAACGTTAGAAGATTACGGTTACTAATCTTTGATCTGATTATCCAACTCAATGTGAACTTATATAGAATTGGACATAATGGAAGTTGGTAATATTTTCAAAATATACTTATCTCGGCAAATATCAACCAAAAAATGAGTGTCAAAAGAACAGTTTGTTCCATGACACTGCTTTTATTTTAACCGCCTTTACTTTTCGGCAATGTTTATTGTTTTAAAACTATTGCAATCTCCAGGGTACGACGATAAACTACATCCGGCAGCAAGGCCACTGATCGGGAGATTGGAGGTTTTGAGAAGCATGGAACGACCTCTTAATTGTGGTTGTTCCCACGTCCACCCTGACCCAGGGTGGCAGCACCTGTTAGGGTCCCAGCTATGGGTAAATAATGAACCCCCAAACAAAATCAAAACATTGTGAAAGTATAAAAATACATTTTTATAGTAGAAATAACAGCAATACATTTTTTATACAAAAATTCCCAACAATAACTATTTATAGCAAAATAACCAACAATACATTTTATTTGTATTTGAAGGCATATAAAATATATTGACTATATTTCGGAGATGAGGTATTATGTACATTATTTATATTATTCGGACTATTATCCTCATCTTTGTCGCCATATTTATTACAACGTTTCAGCCTTTCAGTATCTGTCTATATGTCGGAGATAAGTTATTATGTACATTATTTACATTATTCGGACTATTGTCCTCATCTTTGTCGCCATATTTATTACAACGTTTCGGCCGTTGTACGCTCCGGCTTTCTTCAGGTGGTTGGAATGACGAACTGAACCCTATATTTCGCTCACTGGGGTAGACTCTTCTAGTTCCACGTGTCATGTTTGATGGATGTCAGTTATCAGTTATCTCCAGCTAATTTTCCCTCTGAAATTTCTCCACTGACTTAACCGGGTATTGAACTCACACTCCTGTCACTGGATCTAACTAACGCCTTTATTCCCTGTGCCATGTGTCCTCAAGGACACATGACACAGCTAGAACCCATAGAGTGTGAGTTCAATACCCAGTTAAGGCAGTGGAGAACTTGGAGAGGGGAATTAACGGGAGATAACTGATAACTGACATCCATTAAACATGGCACGTGGAACTAGAACAGTCTGTCCGAGCGAGCGAAATAAAGGATTCAGTTCGACATTCCAACCACCAGAAGAAGGCCGGAGCGTACAACGGCCGAAATGATGTAATAAATATGGCGACAAAGATGAGGACAATGGTCCGAATAATGTAAATAATGAAAATATATTAAATAGAAGCCATAAAATTTTGTTGAAAATATTTAGATTTCGAACATAACCCATAGAGGTGTTGATATGCTGCTAAAGAAAATCAACCTAACAATATTCGAACTTTATAAAATGGTGAATGTTTCCATATTTATTTCTTTATAAATTGATAAATGATAAATATTGCATTGCATTAGCTATATATATATATATATATATATAATGATTTAATCTATTATTATTATGATTATTATATTTATTTGCTTTTATATATGTATTGATTAATATTATTTGTTTAATTTTTTTCCACGGTTGACGGGTTTTTCTGTATTATTCTTTACTCATTTTTTATACCTCTCCTGAAGATCGTTTGTCTAAATTGTACATTCTGTTTTTGCTTACCAGAAATTATATTTATAAACTGTGGATTTTCTAGTCTAGTCCATTTTTATCAATTGATAGTTGAGAAATTGGTACTATCAAAAAATGATTATAGATTATTTTTATTGTTTGTTATAAATACTGACTTCTTAATCTGTGAGTATTTTAGGCTTAAATCCAGATTTATATATTTCTTTCTGTTGTCTTTTCGCACAATTATGAAACATTTCCATATTCTTGTTCCGTAGACTGTCTTGATTTCTATTTTTTTTTATTTTATCTAACCTCATATACAGGGTGTAACAGCAAAATTGTCCAAATCGTATAACGACATAATTGCCTATCTCACAAAATGTTTAATATCTAAAAAAAAAACACTAAACTAATTCAGTTTCTTTTTTCCAGCTTTTCAGAGAAGGTGTTTAACCATCTTGACACCATTTGTCGTAAGAATCATTGAAAAACTGTGTGAGTTATTCAGCTAGAAAAAGAATAGGTTAAAATCGTTTTGTGTCAGTTCCTCTATTTCTTCTCAACTGAACAATGATGAGAGGAAAAAGATCATTCAGGTTTTCAGTATCCATACTCCGGCTTCCATTGTCAAAGACCATTCAAGAACCATCAAGAAAACGATGAATAAGTTTAAAAAAAAGGGAGTAGTAGAGAAGAAAACTGGATCAGAAGGTCACAACAGGAAGAGGGATCACCATTTCAACTTAAAGCAAAATACATTCTTATTATTCAAAGTAGACACCAATAGTGTTATAAAAACATCGGATAATTCCAGTAAGATATCTTGAATCATTTCTAGTATACAAAGGCTCAAATCTTAATCTAACAATTTTGCTGTTAGACGATTTGGACAATTTTGCTATTACACCCCATATATATATATATATATATATATATATATATATATATATATATATATATATATATATATATATATATATATATATATATTTCTCATAATAATCACACACACACACACACACACACACACACACACACACACACACATATATATATATATATATATATATATATATATATATATATATATATATATATATATATACGAATATAAACCGTTAATTTGGGGACTTCTGAAACATGTGATGTACCTAATGTTTATATATATGTGTTATATACAGGGTGTTTAAAAAAGAATACGCCCAAATCATCACGTGATATGTCAAAAACGAAAAAAATTACAAACTTCTAGCACGAACACATGTGTTGTATATACATTCAAGATTCATTTCATGTTTTATAAGTGCTGGATGTGGCCACCACCGGCAGCGCGGACAACATCAAGCCGATATGCTCAACAGTTTCATGTGGATGCTCTGTTCCCCAAATGCGCACATTGTGACGATTGACTGCCTCTCAAATGGAAATTCGCTTCGTTACTAAAACTAAACGTGAAAAGAGAGACCTTCCTCCATCTCCAGCATTGACTCACAGAATGTCCTTCGCATTACCTTGTCATCATTAGTAAGCGCTTGGACGAGGCTTAGTTTGTATGGTTTCATGTGTAATCGTCTCTTTAACACATGCCAGACAGTAATATGAGGGATGTCAAGCTGAAGACTTGCTCGACGTACGGACTTACGTGGTCTGCTCTCAAATGGATCATGAATCCTCTCCACTTGCTCCTCTGTAACACATGGTCTTCCAGGACTCTTTCCTTTGCACAGGCACCCACTCTCTTTAAACTGTCTAACCCACCGTCGAATGCTCTCATGATAGGGCGGATCAACGCCGAATTCTGTTCTGAAAGCACGCTGCACCGTGACAATGGCGTTTGTTTTCAGGAACTCAAGCACGCAAAACGCCTTCTACTGAGGAGTCGCCATTTTGATTGATCTTCCCACAATTCAGCTAAAACCGGAAGTTATACTAACGACAGCGGTGAAACTGACACCCAATCAACCTTTGATAACTACTCTATCAAATAACTACTGATTCAGTCCACTACAATGCTATAGACCTGAAAAAAAAAACAAAAAAAACAAACAAACAAAAAAAAAACAAAACAGCGTAATGATTTTGGCGCATTCTTTTTGAAACTCCCTGTATTTTTAAAGCTTCTGAGAACTAAATCCAGCTCCGAGCCGGATAAGGGGCGAAGGTAGACCACTGGTGCCTCATAACCAGCTGCGACGGGTCAATGGTGCACATCAGCCCATGAAGACGGTCATAACTCAACCCAGAAAAGTCTATAGAAGTAAATCAACTTACATGTGCTATCCATTTTAGTTGTTGCTGGTGTTTGTAGTCCTCAAGTTTCTGTTATCTGCTACAGTTCTATTTGCTACAGTTCTTTGTGATTGTGTTGCGCCAATGGGCAATGTTCAAAGAAGTATGGTCTTTGTGATGAACCTCAGTCTTCACTCGATCAAAGCCATTTCTTACCATTGATGTTAGGAAGCGGTTCATAACTTTCTTTATTGCACAGGAAACCGAAAAGTGAGAGAACTGGGGAGAGAGAGAGAGAGAGAGAGAGAGAGAGAGAGAGAGAGAATAAAAATAGAATGGACAGGAATTTTGATGTAGAGGTTTTTTGTTCTCCGAATATCACGTGACAAGATGAGATAACCCCAATATTATTAAATAGCTTAATCGAGCAGCATTTAAGCTAGCTCTCGCGGAGGGCATTTGATTCGGCCTTTATCACAAAAGGTAGGGAGGAGTAGATGTGATAGGCAACAATAAACTACAGATGAACTCAAAATTGATCGCTGCATTTAAGTATTGCATTAATATTTAAGTTTACCTTTTAACTGTTCAACAATAATTCTTCTGCCGCCATTTAATTTAAAGACAATTTGATGTACGTAGGTCCTTACTTTCCGTACAAATTTATTTCATGGGTGAGCGTTGCTGGATTTTGCAATTAATTTCAATTATTCCTAAATTTATTTCCAAATTCGTCAGAAAACAATCGCAGTAATGAGTATTTGGGAATCCAAAATTTCAGGATTGCTGGTCTGGTTATGGCTCGGAATGTTTTTAATTTGCTTACGGAGTCGGCCTGATTCCAAAATGGTATCATATGTTGGGCTACGGCCTTTGGGAGCAAAGTTGAAAAAAACGAACAACTTTATTTAGAAACACTGAAATTTAAGAAAAGTATTTTTTTCATTTGAAATGTGCTATTAAAAGTTAGAGAGTTGTGTCCCTTTAAGTTGGAAAACTGTGACACAGTGACACACGGACATTCGCATTTATTATATAGATTGTTTATTTTACAGGTCTTTTTTTTAAGTATATCGTTGTAGTAAATATGGTTTTTACTTTTAATTATATGTCTCATCGCCTAAAAGTTATTTATGTAGGTAACCAAGTTATAAAACACACAATTTGTACTTTATAATTGGTGGCAGACAACAGGCAATGAACAAAAAACGTCTTTACGAGCACATTGTTTTTTTTTGAGACTGTAGCAAAGGATCCCAAATTTGAAGTCATTTATTCATGCCTCTAAGTTACAATCAATGAGACGCATGATATCTTTATTGGTTGCCGTCTAGAGGAAATGCCACAAGTTCTTATTCATTAGGAATTGGGAAGGAATAATTAGCTTATTTCAAAGAACTTTTATTTATTGTTTATCGGCTTCCTGGAAATAGAACTTTGTTCTTCCAAAAAGTTTACATTTATTTAATCTTTTTCTCTTTATCGGATGTGGATCTTTCCTGCTGACTCCCACCCCACTTCCCTGACATTCGTTGTCGGTGCATTGACAAGGTTCATGAAAAATAAAAAACCCGACAAAATCGAAGAAGATGCTTATTTGGCTGCGTGTTTTTTTTTTGTATTTTAGAAGACAAATGAAAAAAAGTGATGCAAAAAGAAAAAAAAACAAAACAAAAAAAACAAAAAAACCAACACCCCCACTCAAAAAAAAAAAAAAAACCATGAAAAAAACCCAGAACAAACAAACATATACAATTGAATGGGTAGGATTTACGTTGATGCACTAAGAAATTGAGAAAACTGAGCAAACATTTACTTTAAAACATAATTATCACCGTTTCTTTCGAAGTAGTCTCTTGTTACGTAATGAACCCATATTTTGTTAGGATAATATTGCATTGTCGAAATGCGACAATTTCGTACTAAACTCGATTTGTGTGCGTTGAAGTGGAAATTCCCTGGGCATTTTCGTAACACCCCACAACATCTAATCTAAAACTGCCTGAGGAGTGAATTGAACAATTAACAAAAAAGGGTTCGTCTACGCAACTCTGGAGTTGAGGTGATGCTGAATATAACATCAATAATCTAAGTGACAATTTTCATATTTGTATTATCCGGTATAATTGTATATTTAGGCAGCAATTCCTCTTTTATACATGTTTCATTAAAGACAGCTGACAAGGTACTGCGACTAAACTTTTAATTTTTGTTGTGTTCGTACAAGTGTTTTCTTTTCTGGACACAAAGTGCGTAAAAACTGTCCAAAAGTTCTGCATTTCTGAGAGCTTAGGGTTATATTAGCCATTATCAAGGATGATTTTATTTTTACTTTTTAACTGAATGTCTGGGTTGTGTGTACGTATCTAGAGTTATAGGGATGTTTTATTTTCCAAACACAGTCACTACATTGTGGCCGTGTTCATAGTTAATGTCATTGAGTATTGGCTTTCTCTTTTTTATTATAAGGGTTTCCATTATTTTAAATCTTTTTTACATGTGGATGAGGTTATTATGATTGTATTTTCTATTAGTATGTTTAGGATGAAGTCTGGTACGTTTTTGTGTGTATTTAAATAGGTTGTGATGAAGCTATGTTCGGATAGGTGTAAAGTAAGTTGTCTGGAAAGGCATGTAGTAGTGTGACCGATTTAATTATTGATGAGTTTTCTTTGATCATAAACATATATATATATATATATATATATATATATAGAGAGAGAGAGAGAGAGAGAGAGAGGAGAGAGAGAGAGAGAGAGATCAGGTTATAGTTGTTCCAACAAGAGAAAAGTGTGTATTTTAAACAGAAGATAAACCGCAAACGTTTTTTGTTGAAATGTGGAGTTTTTATTTTAAAATATAAATTGTAATCTGTTTTCCATAATTCTGCTACACGTGTTTCTGGTGTCGCGTCCTTCTTCAAGCTAAGAGTAGATATTTTCCCATATCGTATACAAATGAATTTTTTGCCTGGTAGTGATTCAAATGTCTTTCTTGGGCTGGCGATAAGAGTTGTTACACACACACACACACATATATATATATACATTCTTTTTATAGATACAAATATGCTCTGTTTATAATAAACAGTATTAAACAACATTTACCGGTCTGAATGCCCGAGAAATTTTCACGGAAAATATTTGCCCTCCGACAGGATTCGAACCTGTATCCTATACGGGACCGTCATTTAGCTTGACGGGCCTTAACCGATTTGGCCACAGAGAACCGTTCGGTTAACAAGGTCGAATTTACTGTATTTGAACTTCAATCTTCTATGAATCTATATATTGCATATAGTTCTCTTGTTAATATTTCGTTCTTTCGCTTGGTATGACGTCATGGAACAGTTCATAATGCAGTTCTATGACACACACACACATACACACACATATTGCGTGAGAGAAACAAAAACCACCAGTCTACAAATTTCCAGAGAGACCATTGAATGTAGAAGACAAGCCACTGAACTATGTAAAGTCTTTCACCTATCTTGGTAGCAAAGTCAATTACAGTGGATCTTTAGATGATGAAATCATGCATCGGATTTCTAAGGCTACCAGTGCTTTCGGCAAACTTCGCCATCGCTTGTGGAATGAGCGGGGTATTCGACTGGATACGAAAATTCGGGTTTACAGAGCTGTTGTACTTGCTATCCTTTTGTATGGCTCAGAGTCGTACCATATACGCCAGCTAGATGTTTTCCATAAAAGCTGTCTGCGTGCAATCTGTGGAGTTAAGCTTCAAGATAGGACATCTAACGTAGACCTGTTTAACTTTTATCATACAGTCTCAGATACAATGGACTGGTCATGTGTTGAGAATGTCTGATGACAGAATACCCAAGATCCTAATGTACAGCCAGTTAGATCAGGGCTACAGGAATGTAGGACGCCCATGGCTAAGATACAAAGACAAGCTGAAAAGCAACTTGTCAGCAGTCAATATATCACATAACTGTTAGACATTTTGACGGTCGTCCTCGAGTATAGAATCCAGAGGTTGGCAGTGAATATTTCGGAGACAGTAGGAAAGCGTAGTGCAGGTTCGCAGTGAATATCCCAGCAAAGTAGCAGAGCGTAGTTCTTCCGTCTGTCATGTTCGCCTGACATATTGGCTCTGGTCATTCCGGTAGGGAACAAAGATGGCCGCCTTTATACACGACGGATACAGTGTTCTGCGGCTTCTGATTGGTCAACCTTCTATTGGTAGACTATAAAGAGAATTAAGTCATTTTGACTCGCGCACTAGTTACGTACATATATACACAAAAAACTGTAACAATAACACCCTTGAGCGCTCAGCCGTGGAGCGGGTAGAATGAAGATCAACCTGATTTAGTGGACTCAACAATTTTCAATCTGCTTGTCTGAATCATCTTCAAGAAGCGAGAGCAAGGTCTAAAAGGTCAGCCAATCTAACAGTGCTCTTATCTCACAATCCTCACACTTGCTCCATATGTGGCCTCCTTTGTAAATCACTATCGGGTCTTAAATGCCACAAGATTATCGCACAAAATTTCATAACTGAATCAATAAGCTGTCAGATCCTCATACATCGAAACCGACGGGAGAGTCCATTATATATATATATATATATATATATATATATATATATATATATATGACAGATTGGAAAGTTTTTTCGTGACGCGTTTCATCCGTTAAGATTTCATAGGACTGGGCTTTGATGACGTTGCTACGTCTACACATGCGCACGAAACGAGAGACGCTGGTAGTTTCAACATTTTTTTTAAATAATTTATTGAAATAATTTTCTTTTTCAATCTAGTCGAAATCATCTGTATTCTTTTTCTTTTTGTTTATCTCTCCCACCACAGAATACATTTTGCAGAATGCATATATATATATATATATATATATATATATATATATATGAATGAATGAAACCATATTTTTATCATATATATGTATATATAGGAGTAAATTATTGTGTCAAAGCATATATATATATAAAAATACAATTTGTTGTTAACTGGGGCAAGGAATGGCTAGTTAATTTTACCGTTTGCAAAACAAAACTGCTCTCATTTAATCATCGTTTGAGAGAACAATTTTGTCTTTCTTCAGAATAGCTGATGCTAACCTCCAGGAGATTTACTTCTTGTTCCTTGTCAGGCTAACGTTTTCCTCTGACACGAAGTGTAAAGATTATATTGAATCAATTTCTAGGTCTGTTGTAAGTAAAGTTGGTGTACTGTGTCGTACGAGACAGTTTTTGTTGCCAGAATTTATCCTGCACATTCATAAGTCTACCATTCGTCTTTGCACTGAATATTATTGTCACATCTGGTCTGGTGCCTCTGCCATGTATTTAGAAATTCTTGAACAATTCTGCAATGTTATTGC